CCCCAAAACCCCAAAACCCCAAAACCCCAAAACCCCTAAAAAGCTGTATATAATTGGGATACTAAATATGGGAAATACCTGAATGAAGGATGCTTCAGTGGGTATGTCTAAGCAAGATTCATTCATCGCTCACAGATATCATAAAATTACTACTCTAAAACTTCAGTTTGTTATACCAAGTTTTAAGTAGTCAACTTAAATTTAATGCAAGTTTTCACTTCTTCTAATTCGGCCAATTAAGAAGCAATATTTTGTAAATTTTCTTGTTACTGCAACAGATGATGCATGTTTTGGTGCAGAGATATTTGTATTCCCTCTGAGAAATATTTTTATGAATTTTAAAGATAATCACAAACCACAGTATTTTAAGATAAAATATTCTTTATTTTCGCTAATATCTTCCCTCCAAAGCATGAAAATAATTATTTAACACTAGATATAGAAGCTGAAGTTGAGATGGGTTCAAAAAATACTACCAGAACCGAAAGAAAAGACCATACAGCTGTGAAGAAACTAAGAAGGAAGCCTAAGCTAATCTTTGACTCTCTAATCACAGAAGATACATTAAATTCAGCAAAGAAAGTGAGGTTCGACAGCGAAGAAGATTCATCAGACAGTGATGCAATCCCATCTCTCTTAACAGGAAATTTATTGAGCAAGAGTAGCAAAAGAGTCATCAAGAAGGGGAAGGAAACCCTTGCCAAACAGGAGAATTTTAATTTTAATCTTGATTATCTTCATTCAAATGTGAGGGAAATCCTAAACCCATACAACCCATTCAGCTTAAAGTAACTTATTCATTAAAATCCATAGGACTCTGAATAGAAAAGAGCTGAATAAATTTGATAGCTCAAAGAAATCTCAAAGAGAAGTCAAGTCTTTAAGTGTCTTGGCAGATGGTTCTAAATACATAGGCGAATTTCTGCCAAAAACCACCATCAAAGATGGTATTGGATGTCTGATCAATTCAGACGGATCTATATTTGAAGGATCCTTCCGAAATGATTTACCTTATAAGGGGAGATACATCCTCATATCAGGAAAGATTCTTGAAGGAAGAGTCAAGAATTTCCCATAACCTGATTAAGACAGCAATAGCTTGATGAAATAGAAGCATTCATCTCTAGTGCACACCAAGGAACTCCATATTCCTAAATTTACTCCTTTTTATTTAAAATCTCTATTAAAGCATTATATTACATTTTTGCAACAAATCTGTTCTAGCTTGGGGTTTTGGGGTTTTGGGGTTTTGGGGTTTTGGGGTTTTGGGGTTTTGGGG